TATCATTCACAAGTGCCTGGCAGAAACCAACACTTTATAAATGTAGATGGTCATTTAAATAAAATCCTACAATATTACTAAGAAAGTTTAAAAATAGTAATATAATCAACACATTGTAACTTGATGGCTGTGATATTTTAAATACAAACTTTAAGACAGATCTTCTTTGTTCCATATATCACTCGAAATATAAATCTTTTAAAGAGAGCAGTGAAGCATAGAGCCACACTTTTTTTTTTTTTTTTTTTTATACTGAGAAGATGACCTGGACAGCTCTGTGCTATGTTTGACTTGATCTTGCACTGTATAGATCATGTGCAGAATTGTGTCCACAAGCACAAGGTACAAAGGGAGGGAGGGAGAACAGTGATCACCAAAAACCCTGGCCTGCATAAGAACTGATTCCTGGCTGCCAAGCTACTGGTGCTTAGGGGCTAGAATTAGACCTATGAGGAGAAATATATACAGCAGCTAAACTTCTCAGTAACACACTGAAAATCATACTTAAGACAATGTTTCCTCAGGCAGTCTCCTCTTTTATCATGGACACTTGCGATTAAGGGAGTGGGTGCAACAGGACTAGGGACTTCTACTAATCAGTGTGGAAGACTACTGCTGGTAGTCCTTAATCTTACCTGGCCTGGCATTTGTGCTTCAGTAAACACCCTAATATATCCTGCTGTGCACTACATGAGAACTTGTAGGATCAGGATTGGGATGAAAAGTGGTGGAGGGATTCAGTATTTCTGTGTCTGTTTCCTGACTTTGGCTGTAAGCCATGGTAATAATGAGGAGGCTGCAAAAGGCAAGGGACGAAATGTGGAAGGGGACAGAAGATGAAAGACAAAGTCAATAAGAATCAGACAGTAACAGCTGCTCTTGTCCATGCATCTGTGATTGAAGCTCATGGGAAGGTGAATGTGAGCCTCTTAAGACACAATATGGCCTACGTATTTTGTCACTGTTCAATGATGCCTGGACTTCTTCAGAAAATGAAACAACGCATTATTTATTAATAACTGATATATAATTTTATTAAGCACAAAGATGACATGACACTGTGGTTATCAAAACTGTACAACTAAACATCTCCCCAAGTCTTCTGAAATACTGAACACAGAACTAAATACCAATGAAGTGTTTAGACTGGCCAGAGGGATTAATAGATTCATTTTTCCCATTGATGGATTTTTTTTAAATACAACAGTGATGAGATTTTTCTAATTAAGAGCTTGTAAAGGTATTGTATGGAACCAATAGAAAACACGATAGCTAAATCAATTAATTTCATGAACACCCCACATCTGACTGACAAAAACAGGCAATAGTTACCTCACAGAAAGTGCTGTCAGCATAACCAGCAGTACAAGTCTTCTTGTGAAGCATGAGGTAGATACACATTACAGAAAAGATTGGTATACACATTACAGAAAACAATTAATAGGAACAAAAAGAATTTACAATCATCTTCAGAGACATTATGCAAAACCCTCTTCCATCTGGTAACTGTGACAGAAAAGTCAAGTTCAGAATGTTTTGACTTCTTGAAATGGTAACGTAACAGCTGCCCAACACCAAACATTTGTAAAGGTTAAAGATAGTGATTAGACAATATATGAACACAAGAAGCAGTCTGTCTTGGGAAGTTAAGTATTTCACTAATGGCTTTCACTATCAGAATCTGTCTTTTTTTTAAAGCCCAATCCTGTGGCACTTCCATCTGGAGTCAATACGATTATTTGTGAAATTCACCTCTGTACCAAGGGGCAGCATACGGTTAAGTCTCTCGTGAGCCCCATTTTGAGGGAGTAAATGGCACACAGGCCTCGTGCGGCTCCTCTGAACAAAGTAAAATGACTCAAATGCAATAGATGTCAGGATCAGGCCTCTTGATAGACTCAAGGAACAGTGGCTTTGCAGTGAAACATTCAAATGACAAACAGCACGATATAACTTTAAAGAAACTCGCAGTAAATATAAATGGCTGTTTTATAAAAGTTTATATTTGTAGCAGTATTCTAAATTGCAGTAGTCAGTGGCTGCTGCAAGGTACGGTACATTCTTACATATTAAGTGGGAAATGCCCTTGTTTTACTTCTCTTGCCTACAGAAGAGACTATTTAATCTTACAAGAAACTACACTTGTTATTTGGAGAATGGATTTAATCCAATACATATTGGTAATTTTCCATGAACTCAGTTTGAAATATTCTTCATTCTAAACACCTAAGTCCATCAAGATCACTCTATTAATTTAAATGGTACCTTGACTATAAGGCTAAAAATTTAATTTTGTTTTACACATTGCATTTTTTTGGTTTGTTTGGAAATATAAATCTGTAAATAATTTTAAAATTAGAGAAAATTATTGATAATGCAGCATGTTTCTTTCAAAAATATACAATTAACTATTTTACACAAAAGGTTTTAAACCTGTCCATCCCAACAGAATCTTCTAAGACTTCCTATGAGAGACTACTTTTTTTAGTCTGAGAAGGAAAGGGTTAAAATGGTAAAGAATTTTCAAAAAATGTAAAATTCACAGTAACTGAAATTAAACATATATAGAGTAACTTAAATTTATCTAAACCACTTAAATATATCTTTATACAAACATTTAATGTAGTAAAATATAGCTATGATTGACTTAAAGGCTTTAGTCTTCTTTGAAGACATTTTTAAAGATTTTATACATAGAATATGCTTACACAATACATTCTGCTGAAGGTTAGGCAAAGCGCATTATTTTCAAACACACAGGTAGCATATTTGTTCTCCCAAAACCTCAATAAAGATGCAACCCTACAAACACTTAAGTATATAAATCATCCTGTTAAACTCAATGGAACTGTTCGTGGGCCTCATCTTCCAAAGTCTTTCACACGTGTTTACCTTTACTCACTGAGAGTCACCCCATTGACGCTGGGACTGATCACACAGCATAAAGTATATATATAAGCCCTTGCAACATCTGTAAATGTATCTATGTGCATAAGTGTTTGCAGGATCAGAGCTGAAGACATTTTAAAATAAAGGGCAAAATGCTGCTATCTGATCCTGAGTAGGTATCTCTAGTGCACATTTTGATCTCATTATACAGGCTGAATGTCCACTGACAATATGAGTTTATACATGGCATAAGAGTGGTGTTAGCAACAGTGATCTTGAGTTCAGATTTAGGAGAATATCACCCTAACACAGGGGTCTCCAACCTTTTTAAGCGTGAGATCACTTTTTAAATTTAAGTGCAATCTAAGATCTACCTCAAAACCAAATACCCTTGCCCTGCCTTCTTTGTGCCCTTTCTCTGAGGCCCCACCCCCTGCTTGCTCCATCTTCCCTCCCCCATCTTTCACCAGGCAGGGGCAGCAGGTTGGGGTGCAGGTTGTGGTCTTGGATTAAGTGATTTGGAGTGTGAAAGGGGCTCTGAGCTGAGCTTGGGCAAGGCAGTTGGGGTACTGAAGGGGGTTCTAGGTGCAGGCTATGGGGGTGTTTGGATGCAGGGGAGCTTGGAGCTACGGCAGGGATTTGGGCTGCAGGAGGGGGTTCATGACTGGAGGAGAGCTGCAGGATGTGGGCTCTGACTGGGCACTGCTTATCTCAGGTGGCTCCTGGGTGGTGGTGCAGTGGGGCTAAGGCAGACTCACCCCTGCCCTGGCTCTGCACCACTCCTAAAGGCAGCTAGCAAACTCCCTCCCAAGTCCTGTTGTGTCCCCTCATTCTCTTCTGTAGAGATAGAATACTGGGTGGGAGAGGGGGCACCTTGACATCAGCAATCCCTCCTCTCCTTCTCCTGTCCTGCCCAGCAAGCAGGAGACTTCCATGGGTGGGGGGAAGGCAGTTTCAAGGCAAAGGGCAGGAGATGTGCAGCAGTAAGGGGGGAGGGTTAGCTGAAGTGCCAGCACTTGATAGCCTCTAGGCCAAACCAGTCAAGATCACCTGTCAGAGGCTCCAAGATCTACCAGTAGATCCTGACCTACTTGTTGGTGACCACTGCCCTAATATAAAGAATCCTATTCTCCTGCTGCAGGACACAAACAGCCTCTATTGACATTAATGGGAGTCATTCATATCCTGTGAAGGGAGAATAGCGTTCATTTAAAACAAACGCAAAACAAAAACTAAACACAAGAGGAATTGGAGCACATTACAGTTACAAAGTGACACCATAATATGCAAAGTAATTCACATCTAATTTTCCCCTCCATTTGGGATTTATTGTGAGGCCAGGGTACAGCAAAGCACTTAAATAATGCTATGAAAATTAAGTGCCTTATTGCCCAGCTCACATTCTTTACACATTACTTTGGGAATATCCAATTGCAAAGTTCATATGACTGACTAGTAGTTTGACACAAACCACTGTGGACTGTTGTCTTAAATGAACAGTTTCATTTTTATATGCAGTGTTTTCCAGAGACAGGCTCAGTTGTATATCCCTTGTGCACTCAGAACCACAGTGATGTCAACTGGAATTTGGGGTGCATAAAAAAATGTAGAACTGAGCCAGTATATTATTCTCAAAATATGCATATAAATATTTATAATTGGCTCTTTAGTTTAACAACATTCTCAAGGGTAGTGTGGGACATTAAGATCATTTTCTCAGTCTAAAAAGTAGACATGTTAGAGTAAGTAAAACTTTGTAGTCTATACATTTGCATAGAGATATTTCATTCAGTATACACACACTAACATTAGTGCATATTATCTTTTCTTTAGCTTTTGTGTGCATAAAAGGATAGAGCGGATAAAAAACACTAACTGAAGACAGTTTTGGCCCAGTGGACAAGAAAGGGAATGTTGCTTTAGTGAGCATTATAATTACCAAAGGCAACACACTTTAAACACTTGAAACTGTACACAAAACAAGAAAGCAGATAAGATGCTGTAGCAGTAAAGCTCCAGAAAACAAGGCACTACTTTGAAGTGGTTAAACGTGGCTGAATAATATGGTTTTTAACC